AGACGAGGAAAGCCTAATGCCATTTATAGTGACAATGGGACGAATTTCATTGGTGCTAACAAGGAGCTGCGTCAACTGGTTCTTTCTTCTAAGCATAACAGCATAGTTGGAGCATCTTTACAGCAAGATCAAATCGAATGGCATTTCATGCCCCAAAAGGCAAGCCACTTTGGAGGTCTGTGGGAAGCTGGAGTTAAAAGTGTCAAGCATCACCTACGTCGAATTGTTGGAAATGTCGCCTTAACATTTGAGGAAATGAGCACCATCCTATGCCAGATTGAAGCATGTTTAAATTCTCGTCCTCTGACATCGATGTCAACAGACCCCTCGGACCTACAGCCTTTGACGCCTGGGCATTTTCTAATTGGTGCACCTCTCAACGAATTACCTGAATATGATGTATCCGATGTGAAAGTCAACAGATTAAACCGATGGCAGCACCTACAACAACTTCACCAACACTTCTGGAAGAGATGGAATAGCGAGTACTTACTTAGTCTACAGCAGCGACCTAAGTGGAGAAAAGAAAGAAGGAACCTGATGATTAACGACCTGGTAGTACTGAAGGATGAGAACATGCAACCAACCAAGTGGCTCATGGGAAGAGTCAAGGAAGTCCATGAAGGAAAAGATGGTAGATGTCGAGTTGTAACAGTAAAGACCACTAATGGAGTGCTAAAGAGACCTATTACAAAGCTGGTGTTGCTCTTGGGGCAAGATGAGTAATACATTCAAGGACATTATATCTATCAATAGACTTTAAGCATTTATGAACTTCTTTTCTTGATTTAAAATTTTGTTTGAAGCCTTAGTACTTCAAGGCGGGGGATATGTTAAGTACCCTGCACGTGTTTATTTAAGTGAGCATAGTCATGGGGTTGTATGAATAGAGTGATGTAACCTCGAATAACGAATACTGTAGTATAAATAGAAGCAATAGGCTTTCTAGTAATCTGTGAAATGAAACGAACCGAACCGAATAAAGAAGTTATAAGTCAAGATTGGATTTTTTCTGAACGATACAAACAGTATGCTTTACAAGGCCTATACATGAAATTGTTTACCAAGGACGGTGCACGTGCACCCAATGCACCTCCACTTGATCAGCCCAAGAGAATTGTAGTGTTTAGACAAAAAAGGAAATTTGATTCTCTGCAACTTCCCACGTTTCTTTTTGTCTGAACACTACAATTCTAGATCTTACAGTTCGAGATCTTAAACACATAGTAGAGCTTCATACATTATATTATTTTATGGTGTATTCAGTTTTCTTTACATCGTCATCATTTTTTTAATATATTTATTATTTAGTAATTATTTGTGTATGTACATTATCTTTGCATGTGTGGTCTTGTTATTGCCATAGCATTCATGAGTGGAAACAATTGATTCATTTATTTTATTTCAATTTGTTTAATTGTTGGTATTATTTTGTGTTCTTATCAGTTATCTTTTATTGAAAAGTTATTGCAGAAGTTTGGCCAAAACATCTTTGAGATATACCAATGACAAAAACAATAACCAACCATATTAATCCACTTTACTCTTAGGATTGCAGCAAATTTCATGCTGGTGAAGTCTTTTCATCACTGCGCTCCAAAGGCAAAAGCAAGTTGTTTGATGAAAAGGCTGTTTTTGGGAGAGTATGCCGGCATGATTTTCCTAATGGTTTCACAGCATAAAACATGGTGAAAGGTACATAAGCCTTCAGTAAAAGATCACTTTTCCTCATCGTCAAATTATTCTATTGCAATATTATGTACATTCATGTTCTAATATTACAATAATAACTATAGGAAAGAAATTATAACTTTGAAAATATGTTAATTAGAAGTGGTCATTGTGCAAGTTGTGTCTACTACATCATTTTTATGACTTTTTGGTGTAAATTATTGTTGGTATTTTTTTAAGAAAAACAGTATGCTAGATTTCGCAGATGTCACTCTTGCAATCCCCATATTCCATAGCTATGGACACAAGACTTCCTGTCAGGTTTGCCATGTTTATAAAAGCTAGTACATACACATAAAGGAAATCATATAATTTTACTAGTATAACAAATCTATCAAATGTTATGTCTTTTGCAGCTCTTTTATAATAACAACAATGTTGAATGAGTGTCAGTGATAATTCAAAGTGCCTTTTACAAATCAGTCTGAACATTAAGTATTTGTCAAAATATTTGCAATAATTATAGGAATGGTTTAAAAATAATATTAATTTTGCAAAACATGCTTACATGTAGGTGAAATTTTCCCCAAGACGTACCGAAGGAATTGGGTTGACAGATGGAGAGGGGACAGAGAGACTTTGGGCATTTCTTCGTGACTATTCCCGTATGACCAAAGAAATGTCTCCAGAAAAAAGAATTGATGTGTTAACAGATGGGCTGCTCCATTATGGGAATTTATTGATGCACAAATTTGGTAAGTGCCTTTCTGGGACTGATCAAAATATTTAACAATTTAACAATTTATTCCCATAATCGGGAACAATCACACTAATATTAACACTGCTAGGTAAACAGTTCGATGACGAATAATGTACTGGCCTAGGTGGCATGCTTTCAAAAATCAAAAACCTAGAAAGAATGTAGGAGATTTCAGGGTAGTGTCCCTAAAATCAAATGTACATACATGTACATTTCTAGAGACACTGCCTTCAAGCCCTACATATATTCTCTCTCATTTTTATGATTTCTTTAATGAAAGCTTATCAGTCAGTATTCAGCCGAACCTTCTCATTTGTTACTCATATCCCCTTTTAAATTTATTACAATTCCATGGGAAGACTATATTATCATCCTATACTTAATGAGTATAGTAATACAAATACACAGACAAAATTGTTTTTAATATCTTGCTTTAGGTACTTTGTTGAAAGCAAAGCTTGTGCGTACTGCAGATCTTTATGAAAAGTACTGTGATGAACTTAAAGAAGCAGTTACTAGTTAACCAGSTAAAACCTTTAAATAGACTACCGGTACGGTATTAAATTCTTTCTTGCTGTAGCTCAAACTTATGACGATTTTTTTAAAGRCAAACAAATTGACAACAATATCATTGAGCTGTGGATCAAAGAGGAGATGGGTGCATTTAGTGACACACAAAAAGGTAATAGTGACAAATTGACTCAATGTCAAACCTATAGTTAGAACCCTTTGACTCAAATTTGATGTCAAATAACTAAMTTGAATACCAATTATAAAAACAAGACTTGTTTATGAAATTTAGATTAGTTAATGATGATGGATGGTAACTACAGTACACAGTAACTATTCAGTACTGCTCTGTATTTCCAGTCATACGTACCGTATTTAAAAAGGAACTATTGAAACAAAGCACTCTAAAACAAGAGAAACCACTCACTTATCTAGGAACAGATTTCATGTCAGTGCATGTAACATAAAAGTGTAGTGCATACGCGTTACATATGCAATGCATATGGACACCGTGACAAACTTGCTGCCTGTACTGTCGATTTTCTTCAGTTTGGTTTATTTAAATGTTCATATTTCTCACCACATATCCAGCTAATACTATGGAAATAGAAAAATGATGGCATCAATTTGCAATGATTTTTATTGTATTAATAATGGTCTCTGCTTGATATGAGTGTTCTGCTAGTGCATTTGAAAGGATAAGTAAAGGTTAGCTAATTTGCATAGTTAAGCTCCAAGGTAATCCAATATATACAATGAACAAGGAAAATTAGGATCTGGTATTATAATAGTGCAATTCTTMATATTTTTAAACAGGTTTAGATCTGGAATGGGATGAAATGTACATTGACATGTTGCTGTCTTTACAGAAGCATGAGTAAGTTGAAACAGTCATTTTTTAAGTTGCACATATTTGGTGCTGTGACACTACAAACAAAGATGCTGAATAGAAATGAATTATTATTGTTCTTATCTATCAATTCCTTCTATTTCCTCATTAGGAGCATTCTTAGTTACAACTTACTTCAAAATGAAGACAGTACCGCTCTGAAAAAGAAGATAGGAAGGYGTGTAGCTTAAAGTTTTTTTCACATCATAAGCTTTAGTGAGTGATTTGCTTATGCAAAAAATAACATATTCAAATTATTTACTTGAAACAGCATTGTCAAATCCATTACGTCAATGGAAAAAAAACACTGCATTTCAAAGCGATGGGTTCTTGATGGCCCACTTGCACTTAGTGCCAAAAGAAGGCTGATGGAAAAAAGAGACAAAGACACAGTTACAAAATTACATCGCCTATCCTGTGAAAKAACTTTTCTTCTGGAAATGAAGRAGAAATATGCAGGTAGGTTTGCTCAATGTTTTACGACGAAGTTTTCCGTTGTACAAGTTTGTGTGTGTTCTGGGTTAAAATTTATGTAAAGTGTATCAGTACAGTCTAGCTTTGTAATGAATCACTTCCTGTATACACCTAATTCAGAAAAGGTTGAAATGGGTGTAGAGTGTTTAGTCCTAAAGGTAACATGGGTAGAAACACTATTTACATGTATCACCATATTACCTGGTAGTTTTTGAATAAATTATCAATCGTCTGCACGTGCATTTATGAATCACACTCGCAATACATGTCATTAGAAGAGAATTCATGTGCGATAATTTCGCATTCTTGTCATTTAATTGTACTTTCTAATTTCTACCCATGTTGCCATTCGGTCCAAGCGCTCAGCACTTTTCAACGAAAAGTCTTTTCTGAATCAGATGAATTTGTAATGGCGTTTTATTGCTTCAATTTCAGATGTTCAGTCAATAGCTTTAAAACTATCAAAGCAAATTGATAAAGTTGTGAAGAGCATGCAAAACCTCATTGCTCAGCACTCGACGAGCAATGAGGTCCCATTCGAAGAAGTCAAGAACCCAGAATCCGCTGTTTTCAGATGCTGTGMATCTACAGCTGSGAGCGTTGAAAATCATGATATTCCACAGTCAAACAAGAAAATGATCATCAATCTATTTAAATTGAAAAAAAGGTGCGAAGAGGAAAAGGTTCTCTTGCTAGAGGAAGTGCAACGACTYGATGAATATTATAGAGTGCAAAAATCTTCCCTCCACAATTGCATGTTATCCCTGACTGATGATACCAGCCTTAGCATTGGCTTGAAATGTCTACTGAAAACCAACACCTACCTTCTTGAAAGGGAGTCTCTGAAACTCCATGCTCTCTTCAAAAAACACCCGGATGTTCTCAACTTGCTAACGTCTGCTGATGACCAGGCCTCAGATGACATCTGTGAGGAAGACTTAGAACAAATTGCTAACGATTTCCTGGATAATTATTCTGAGGAAACACTCGATGACTTTGAAGACTTATAATGTTTTTGTTCCATAYATATTGTCATAGAGCGTGTCGGGTCAGGTCAGGGTGCCTGCTACTTATAACACTATGACACAACTCTGCATTCAAATCAGGATGGAGAACCTCAACACTTTATCCTGGCATACCTTGAGGCTAAGTAGGCTATCCAGATGTATTGATTACACTTGACCAGGAAAGACACAAGTAAAAACAAGACACCAAACAAAAAAAAAAACGAAATAAAAATATCACAAAAAAAGGCTTGTACAGCAAAACAACGTCACATAAAGGCGTGAAAAGTCACATGGTCCACCTTGTACTAAWACAGGTGTGTTGGTTCGAATCCAACATGACTTGCCTACCGACGTTCTACTGTGTATGCCACTGAATGSATAGAGTGGTTTTCATATGAGTGGGAAACTGACCGTAAGAATTACTGTACGGTTACGGTACGGCAGGAATTTCGAATGTTAGTCGGTACAGTTACGGYACAGTACGGTCAGTTTCCCACTCATACGAAAACCGCTCTATAGAAACTGTGGTATCTACCATGACCTTGATAACCACCTTGTCTCTGAAATCCTTTTGGTTATTATACTCCTGTGGCGCTTGAAATGCATATGAAAGCTTTTGAATGAATCAAATGAATCAAAATAATCATTGTGTTGATGATGTTTGATGTTTCTCATGAAAGACAAATGATGTCGAATTTCAATTTCAGGTGTCGGGTGGTTTCAGAGACCACGCTCTTGCATGGTTGTGACATATCATGAGATTAATAATGAAAAGACGGACAGGTCTGGTATCAAATAAAATCACATGGCCATCGGTGCAAAGTTYCTAAATAGAGGCATATACGCCTGAATTAAAATTCGTCTTATGAAAAACGAATTTAACAAGTTGGGACTGAATACATTAAACTACAAAAGAAAGCGTCTRCTTGAATTTGTCCCGTTCGTCTTTTACTTAATTGTCCTTCACTTAATTCATGACTAGCTAAATTAAAAATGTCCTATTTCCAGGGGACCACAATTTTGTGACCATATTGAGCATGTTGTAGTTTTTATATAATGAATGCGCTATACTTGGGTTCAGTCACCTGAGGTATAATAGCAGCGCTATATATGTCATTTATCACGATCATCTGAGCAAACATGRCGTAAAACATGTCGTGTTTTATTATAAGCCTGYGGTGTTAAAAGCAGTGGTGTGTTGACGGATGCACGAGTCGTTATTGTTATTACAGAGTGAGAGTCGAGTATATAGATAATATGTATTGTTGACGTACGATATGCATAAAGCTAAGGAACGTASAAGAATTTTCTCACTCTTGGTCCTAMAGTACAAGTCCAGAAGAGGTGTCYTCTGAAAGCTCACAATGAGCTGATGACAAAAATAGTGACAGTGTTTTGATTGGCCACGCCCATCACGTGATATGACGTCATACGTGTCAATCTCGAAGTTCATCGGATACCCTTGTGAGTTATATTTTTGAAAAGCCTGGGATCTCAGCATTCTAAATATATATTATCATTGCACCTTTGCTGATATTTGCAAAGATATGGCTATTTTTGTGAAGCATGGGAGGACTTTCTGTTCACTAATGTAAAGGTGTCTCTATAATGTTCCACTCAAAAAATACAAGTGTTCTATATCAGTCAATGTGTTGCTGACATGATGAGCTTTGATATGATACCACACTTGACACAATTGATTGAATCGGTTTTTTGACTATTTCGCAGCTGTGATATCATATTTCCGAGGGCGTGGCCTCTGGTCACACCCAACACCCTATTTTGGTCTCTTGTAATTGCCAACACACCATATGTACCATTTGCACCGACATTTCCACTGATTTTCCAAAATTTCCTATTTAAGGATTTGAGCTCCAAATCTTAGTAGATTTTATAAGGGATTCTATGGCACATTAGGGTTAGCCTTGGGGTTAGCTTAGGGTAAGTGCTAATTTTCTCACTCCTGGTCCTACCAGTCCAGACGAGGTGTCCTCTGAAAGCTCACAATGCGCTGATGACAAAAATAGTGACAGTGTTTTGATTGGCCACGCCCATCACGTGATATGACGTCATACCTGTCAATCTCGAAGGTCATCGGATACCCTTGTGAGTTATATTTTTGTAAAGCCTGGGATCTCAGCATTCTAAATATATATTATCATTGCACCTTTGCTGATATTTGCAAAGATATGGCTATTTTTGAGAAGCATGGGAGGACTTTCTGTTCACTAATGAAAAGGTGTCTATAATGTTCCACTCAAAAAATACAAGTGTTTATTATATATATTGTAACCAGCAACCTGTAACCTACAGTTTACGCCGTCCGTTAATTTGTGCCTAGAGTTCAAACACAAAAAGTATGAAACAATCACACTATTTAGTAGTGAAGACGGTTAGCAAAAGATTTAGCATACTTTATATTAGCAGTATTTAATATAAGTATCTATGTTTTACACTTTTAATGTTTGTACTCTATAAGTAATTTATTGATAAATACTTGTAATTTACACCTATGGATCCAAAAATTTGATTGAAYAGAGAATAAAACACTATGCCATTAAAAGTGCTAAAGTTATACYGAAGTTTGTAGTTTTGGACATCTTTTCAAAGACTCTCAAAGTGATTTTGCATTATTATTGTGATGTTGATTACCACTAACTTAGTCTGCCGACTCATGCATAATACATAGCAGATATACAGTTGCTCTCATTAAACCTTGGAACAAAGTGTAATAGTCAAAGTGTGACTCCCAGGGGGGGAACTCGGGTGTTAACATGACGGGGGGGTCGGACAGAGCTCCATATTGCAACCCCCCAAAAATACACAAGCCTCAAAGTTTAGACCCAAAAAAATACACGACTTGGAATTTCGAACCCAAAAAAATACAAGACTTAAATCGTAAAAAAACGATTTATTGATGTCCGTTAACATCCGAAGCAAAAATTAAACTCGAGACCCAAAAAAATACGGGCGTTTTTAATAGACCCAAGAAAATACGTGGCAGGTTTCTTGACCCAAAAAAATACCGAGAACGAAAATTTTGAACCCCCCCAAAATACGTCGGACCTCCCCGTCATGTTAACCCCCGAGTTCCGGCCCTGGAAGGTGACTTCGCTACCATAGTCACCTCGCTACCGGTGACTGTAGCTACCGCTACTGCATGCCTGAGTGACTTCGCTACCAAAAGTATTTAGTTTTTTTTTAAGCTTCGCGGTATCAATATATTTATTTTGTGTTGTTTTTAAAGAAATTTCTTGGACTATCCATGCACACGTGCTATTCAATGTTGTTCAAGACCAAATTGAAACCGGAATTAGCGATGTTTAAAGTTGCCGATTTTCGCCATTACATTAGTGATCGTATATACAGCTTCAAATGATACAAGCAGCCTTCGTAAAAGCTTGATCTACGCATTTAAAGCGTTATTACATGTTAAATTTGAACTTCATAACACATCTTAAAATTGAATTTTTGGGTTAAAAACGCAAATATCTACGGCCATTATCAGACATAGTTTTCTAGACAGATACTGCAGTAAACAAGCTCGGGCTCGTTTGTTTCGTTTCGTGTAGACTACATCAGTAGAAGTCCCTTGTTTTCAAGTCAAATTCTTTGAATACCCTTTTTGCAATACTGAAGTTTAGTCGACTTTAATGAGATCGTGAATGCGCTATACACAACTGACGGAAAA